CACCTGGGCACACCTGGGCACAGCTGGATGATCCCAGAATCACCTGAGCGCGGGGACCTCCTGTCCTGGGCCCAGGCGGGGCTGGAGCTGCACGGGGGCGTCACCACCCTGCCCTTCCAGCCCTGTGCGTGACACACCTGGGGACACCTGGGGACACCCCAAAAATCACCTGAGAGCACCTGGGAACACCTGGGAACACCTGGGAACACCTGGGAACACCTGGATCATCCCAAAATCACCTGAGAGCACCTGAGAGCACCTGGAGAGCACCTGGGAACACCCAAAAATCACCTGGACACACCTGGGAACACCTGGGAACACCTGGGAACACAAAAAAATCACCTGGGATCACCTGGAGAACACCTGGAGAGCGCCTGACACCCCAAAATCACCTGAGAGCACCTGGAGAACACCTGGAGAGCACCTGGATCATCCCAAAATCACCTGAGAACACCTGGAGAGCACCTGGAGAGCACCTGGGAACCCCCAAAAATCACCTGGAGACCTCAAAATCACCTGGATCATCCCAAAAATCACCTGAGAGCACCTGGAGAGCACCTGGGGACACCTGGGAACACCTGGATCATCCCAAAATCACCTGAGAGCACCTGGAGAGCATCTGGGAACACCTGGAGATCACCTGGATCATCCCAAAAATCACCTGGAGAGCACCTGGGGACACCTGGACACACCTGGATTGTCCCAAAATCACCTGAGAGCACCTGGGGACAGCGGGGGACACCTGGATCATCCCAAAAATCATCCAAAAATCACCTGGATCATCCCAAAAATCACCTGAGAGCACCTGGGAACACCTGGAAACACCTGGAGAACACCTGGATGATCCCAAAATCACCTGGAGAGCATCTGGGGACAGCCGATTCATCCCAAAAACCATCCCAAAATCACCTGGAAACACCTGAATCACCACAAAAATCACCTGGGAACACCTGGACACACCTGGATCATCCCAAAAATCATCTGAATCATCCCAAAATTCCCCGGATCATTCTAAAAATCACCTGAGAGCACCTCGGGACACCTGGATCATCCCAAAAATCATCCCAAAATCACCCGGATCATCCCAAAAAACATCTGGGAACATCTGGGAACACCTGGATCATCCCAAAATCTCCTGGGAACG